ACTGATACCCCTTTTGGCATTACCAAATCATTCTGCATGATGTGATTTTCCAAAAATCTGAAAAAGTCACTGTTGGTTTTATGCTTCTAAACTTTCCCACATGTTCTTGCCTTCCTAGCATTGCATATTTTTGTGTTAAGCATGTGAACACTTTGTTTCAAGAAAGTGAATGTCAGTTTCTCCTTAACTCAATTACAAAAAGCTAAGATGGTGGTGTTCAAAGGGTAAGAGTTGAAAAATGTAAGTTTGGCTCCTGAGAATGAGCATATAGGGATTTCTCTCTCTCTCTCTCTTTCTTTTTAAATTGGCATATGTTAAACTGTGCCCAGTAATGGGTTCCATCATGACAATTCCATACACTGATATAATGAACTTTGATCATAGTCACTCCTCCATTACTTTTTATCTCCCCTTCCCACTTTTTTCTACCCCTTTCAGCTCCCTAGTAGTCTCCCTTTTACTTTCATGACTAGGTTGTTTTGTTTTATTTTTCCCTAGCTTCCAGAAATGAAAGAAACCATGGGACGCTTGTCTGGGGGACTGACTTATTTCATTTAACAGGATGATCTCCAGTTCCATCCACCCTGCAGGATGACTTTGTCCCTGGTCCTTTCTAGGCCCCTCCATTGGACAAAAGAAAGTGTGGCTCTGGATTGGGTCACAGTGAAGTGAAGATAGCATCAAAAGCTTGTTAAAGTGAAACTTCTGTGCCAATGCTCTGAGGCTCCTTTCTTGTTGTTAAGCAATGGAGCTAGAAAAGGCAAAAATGCTACACTTTGTCTATAGGGTGTATAGACCAAAGCCCCAATAGATTTCTAAAATCTCAAAACCTATATTAACTGTTTTTTCATTTATGTCTCCAATAAAGTTTAATTTTTAAATTAGAAACAGTAAAGTGATTAACAATAATTAGTAATAAAATAGAACAATTGTGACAATATTCTGCAATATATTTATTTAAAACTTATTTCTGAAATTTTCCATGTAATATTTTTGAACCTAAGGAACTAAAACTTAAAAGGCTAAACTGGGGATAAGGTACATTACTGTCTTTACTATCTTGAGAACCAACTACCTGTAAAGGAGTCAGAGTAGGCACTGCTAGAGACAAGAACTGAAGAAATGCCATTGAGGAAAATTACTAATAATTACCTTTAGGAATATTGTGTAGAAAGGGAAGGAAAAGAGATGATACAGTTAAAACTATAATTTGATTACAGTTTTTAAGGGCACTGAGAAAAGTTCTTTCAATTTGTCTTAAAGTTGTCATTGCTAAAGTAGAATTTCTATTATCTTATATCCCAAACCAGTAGCCTAATACATTGCTGATAGTATACCTTAAAAATAAATGAGCATATTACCAAATGTCCATTTATATTTCAGATTTAAAAGCTATTACAATAAATCACACCACTTCTTTGAACTGTCCACCTCAAAGAAACAATAAATAATGTTGAGCTTATATTCTAATAAAATCTGTGCATCTGATAAATAAAGGGTTCAAATTTTCAATTAATCCACTTATGGAAAGCTCAGAAGGAATCAAAATACTTAAAAATCAAAACTTTCATTTGTGTAACTAAGAAGCATTTTGGACACCATCTATATTTAACAGCTTTTGAATTTAACCCTCTGTTTGCAAAGGTGTTCTCCTCTCACTCTATATCTGGGTAGGTTTTATTTATGCACCAGACGACCTTTTTGGCCATTAGAACCATCTTGCTTCAGCAGTTAATTAACACAAGCACCATAATTTAATACAGTTAATGCTACTTGAGGCCCTTTAATGTACCTTCCATTAGTGATATTATTGTAGTATTACCCTGTAAATTAAAATGAGATCAAGACTAAGAGAGCAGCTCTTTAATTAAGGTACTGGCACACTGCACTCTCGTCTATTATTCACTAGAGAAAATCACCCTGATTTACTGAAGCAGGACAGCCATAAGTCAGAATTAGTCTGTGAAGATTATTAGGTTTATTGAACAATGTAAGTACTATGGAGTCGCTGGGATCGCCAACAGCCATGCTTCCTCTTTTCTTCCATTATCTTAATAAATACTCAATGGGTAGGAGCAAGGGAAAGCTAAATAAGTGTGTAGCAAAAGATGAATAAATTTCTTATGATGAGATTATAGTTTTTGTCACCAGTAAAATGTATCACATGCTAAAAAGATCATAAATGTTACATGGGTTTAATGATAATCTAAACATCATTTTTATACCAAACAATACTAGTCAGTATAAAATATATACATGCACAAAGAAGTGGAGAGTTTAGAATTCACTGTCAGTCAATTTAAACAAGAATGTCCAACTATTTTTATTTCATAGTTTAATATTTCAAAATGAAAATTTGACATTCTCTGTGGCTACACTATGGATATTTATGACTGGTCTCTATTCTATATTCCCAAAATATTACCACACTTTGGTGGGGTGGTATTAGAAGTGACAAGTACAAAAATATCATTATCATTATCAAATATAGACATGTACAGGCATGGAAAGTGTGCCAATCATTTCATGGGATGGTGGTACAAGAAACAAAGACCTGCTACATTTGGGGAAATTTAGAATCTTCTTTCAGAGATCATTGATTAATATCTAATCCTTCTACAGGTAACTTGTTGTATAAGAGAAAGGTGACCCAAGTGATTAATCCTAATGAACATTTCAAGGGTAAAATGACATTATTAAGCATCCAGGCTGAAAGGCCTTGTGAACCAGCTACTGCTCCATATTTCCCTTTAGTGACTCCATTGTGAGCAATAATTCTTTATATAACTTCAAAGCTGGAGACACACCCAAGCCATCAGACCTTGCTTCTTTGGTCCCTCCCCTAAGACTAAAAATATTCAAGCCATCTGATGCTTGATACAGAACAAGCCTGCATCAGTTTTCCCTGAGGAATTTGGACAGAGTGTGGAAGTGACAGAGTGGGACTGAATAGAAAGGGTTCACCTCTACTGGACCTTTATCTTTTGCCCAGCTGTTTCTCACCAGCTCAAAGCTGACTGGTGGACAGGAAAAGACAGTAGAGGTGAGTCTCAGAGAAGGGAGGAGGGCTCCTGCAAACTCCTCAGAATTCTGAAGTGCAACTGGGGGAGATGGCTACAATGATGGATAAAAGAGCAGTGGTAAATGCAGAGGGACTCTGCGTCTCTCACATACACCTTTTAGAGATGGCCTGTCCAATCCCAGTGGAGAATGGAGAATGCAGAAAAATGCCCTTAGCTTTAAAATGTATTTTACATTTTTAAATAATCACAGGAAAGAAAAATGTATACCTAATAACAAAAGCTATTTCCTAACCAAAAATCTTCTGAAGATTGCCTTCCTGACAGTGGCAAGCAAGAGTGTTAGGTACAACTTGGTGTGTAGTGATTTGAGTTACAATTAAGGATTTCTCTAACAGCCAGGAAACTGACCTACATGAGTCTCACAATATAGATCACACTAGGACTCAAATTCAAATCTTGGTTTATTAATTTTGACCTTTAGTCTTACAGATGAATTGAGTGCTTGTGACTTGATTTTTGGTATGTTATTGTTAATAATGCAATTATTTTCATATATATTCTCAAGAATGAGATGCTATAAATTGATAATATTTTACTAAATGCTCCTAGGTACAATGGCTGCATTTTGTTATACATAGAAAACTCATGCTTGAAACAATTACTGTCTCTCACTCTGCCATGGGGTCCTGCTAATATATGAACCATTCCCCATTCCCTGGAACCAGCAAGGTCAATATTAATACAAATACATTGATGCCAATGTATCAATGCATCTGTCCCTCAAAACTATTAGTTTCTTTCCAGATGTCATCATCATCCATCACCAAGACCTTAAATGTTTAAAATAAAGCTCCCGTAGCTGAAGAATCTTGACTCTTCCATGAAGAAGAGGAAGCTAGAACAAAGACGGCTGCCGACTGCTCTTCTATAGAGAAGATCCTGAAACTCAACACCACTCTGAGCAGTCCATTCCATTCCATTCCATTCTATGTGTGCATTATGGCCCTATTTTCTTAACAGCAGTGATAGCATGAGGCAAGTGAAAGACCAGTCTTTCTGAAGACTGGGCAGCCCTATGCAACTCTGGAAGTCAGTGAATTGAATGAATTCTGCGTTATCTGTTTAAATTTTATGACTACTTACTTAAATCTACATGGAAGATTTATATTCTGATCCTCATACATATTTTCATGTTTTCAGAGTCAGTTTTGCTTTGCATAACTTTCCTTTTTTTCCCATTTGCTATAACTCTGCTCTTTCCTCTACTTTTCCCCACTCATGCTTCCACTCCCAGCAGTTGGTTATTTTGTTTACACACCATGCTTACAAAGGTGGCTGAAAATCTTTGCATTGGAAGTGCTCGTTCTTATCATTCCAGTTTTTCATAAACATCTTCAAATTCTTGGTAACTCACTTGTGGTTTTGCTATATTATCAAAACCAAAGATATCCTTGACTTATGTTCACTAATGTTACTCTGGTCCATTTGTAATTGATATACAAAATAAAGACTGCCTAAATCAAGTCCATAAGGTATGTCATTTTAACATAACATTCAAAGACTTAAAAAAGTAGCGCTTATCCCACTTTAAAAAGCTTACTTGTTTTCCTAGAAGCATTTTGTTCTGACTTAACAAATTTAAAGAAATCTATCTGTCATTTCCAGAACATTTTTTGCCCAATATAACAAACATTAACAAATTGTGGTGCGGTGTTTTGACCCTCTCCTGTGCTTGAAAATACAAGATATATCCCTTGTTTTTCAGTCCCTTCGAGCAACTGGTTTTACCCTCTTCAGCTTGTGCCTTCATGACCACACCCTGACCTTAGCCAATTCTTTTATCTCAAATAAGATGCCTTTTGTTTAAATTTTAAAGAATTCTGCCAGATTCAATGACAGCATGTCTGAGATTACAAACTACAGAGTCAAAGGGTCTCAAATATTTTCAGAACCTACTTCTATACTGGTGTTTCTGAGAGAATATTGCAGTAGAAGTCAACAAGTGTCATTTTACAGCTGTGGGCCTGTCACCCTGGCATAGTCTTTGGGCAAACCCATTCCCAGTCAAGGCAGACAGACTTCTCTTACCTTCCTCGCACCTTTATGTCTGAGATGGCGTAAAAGTAACGAGCCAAGTGTAGCTCATCTACAAATATTTCCCCAACGGCTGGTCTCAATAGCCTTATCCTCAGATCTGTGACTGTAAAGAAATCTCTGAGTTTCTTGGTTGTATCCAGCTGTCCATAGAGGGAAGCCATGTTTCGTAGACGAGGTCCAGCAAAAAACGCGAACCTGTCTTTGATTTCGAAGTGGATTATTTTGCTATTTGTTGTATACCCCGTGGAGTATTCTTCTGTGCAAATGATTTCTAAGACCGTGTGCTGTGATAAATCCTTCACAGATTTAGGGTCCATGTGAAAAGCATCTAGGCAGTCTGTGGCATAATATTGATAGGGCTGCCATGTGCGTCCGTAATCGAGAGATTTCTCCAGGATCATTTGGTCTGGACGTCCCGATTCAAAGGTAATAACTATGTTGTCTGTGAGTTCAATGGTTTTGCTCCAAGATAAAGTGATGTTAACCTGGAGAGGTTTGGGGTACTCCTTCCAAGTAGCAGACTGCCAAAATGTGGAGGGGTGTCTTCCTTCAAAATCAAACATCAGCTCAGGAGGGTGTGCCAGCTCAGGGGTACTTGCATCGCACTCGTTGTTGCACATGTAGGGGTTGCCCTATAGAGGAAGAACAGAAGAGGGCGCATTAAAACGCTGCTTTGACACATCTTGCCATATTACCCTTGCTAACAGGCTAGGAAATAAGTCAGCAAACACTTTTATTTGCCCTAACTGGATTATCTTCTACAATAGCTTTAACAAGAGCAATATGATAACTTTCTTGTTTTGTTTCCTTCCATGGACTTAAAAAACGAAAGAAGTTTATCTGTCCCATATGTGTTAGACCCGTAATGTGGTCACAGAGGCACAAAGACACAGGACAGCTGTGTAACAATTCAATTCCTCTGCTTCCTCTTAGATGTCTAATAGAAGCAAGGGAAGCAAGGGACAGAGATGTTGCTTAAGAGCACAGTTATTCAAAAGTCATTTTTGAAGCAAGGATTTAGAATTAGCCACGAACCCTAGACACTACTGTGTCCTGTTTGGGAAAGGATTGCCCCATACCATATTCAGCTTCTCTTGGCTTTGTCTCCAATCCATCATACTTAACTGGGTTTCTGCTTCATAAAGTCTGGTTTTAAAACATTTACTTTATTCACCACAAATCATTAAAATGCGATACACTGTAGGCTCTGGGGCTTGGTCCAAACATCTGCCATCCTAATAGCTAGAGATAAGAGGATTGCTTAGGAAAGTCTTCAGGATGAGGTTATGTTCCAAGTTATCAGGACATGAAAACAACTACCTTTTATCCCCTAGTATCCATGAGTGATCAGTTCCAGGCTCCCCATGGATACCAAAATCTGCAGATGCTGAAGTCCCATTTACAAGATTGTATAGTATTTGCATATTTCCAATACACACCCTCTGACATGCTTGAAATCTTCTCAAGATTACTTGTGATACCTGACACAAGGTAAACAGTTGTTATTCTCTATTGTTCAGGGAATCCGGACAAGAAAGAATCTGTACATGCTCTGTACAGATGCAACCATCGTATACCTTACTACAACTCATCTCATATGAAAGAGATGAAGTGAGCATCTCTCAAACTGAGTAAATGGTGGGAGGTTACAGCAGGGTGTGCTTGCACATTACTTATTTTCATGAATTCAACATTGTGCTCACCACATGGCAAATTCAACATTTGCTTTTAGAACTTTCTGAATCTATTTTTTCTTGATATTTTCATTCCATGGTTGGTTGAATCTGTGGACATGGAACCCTTGGATAGGGAGGACAAACTGTACTCGGTGAAGAGGGCCACGCACACTAAACTGCAGTCAATTATGTGTTGTTACTCTGGTCCAGCTCATAGGCAGCTCTCCATGGATGTTAATTTTCATGATACTCCTCTGACAAAAGCTACATCTTGACAACCCTCTCCAGCGAGAAGCTAGAAACAAACCTCCTGTTATAGCACAAGTTATAATCCTGCTTGTGCTACCCTAAGGGCTGTGTTCAGCTTTCATCTGTAGTTCTATGGAGAGCAGCTCCCAGGCTTTTGTTAATTTTGTTTAAAAAATAGTATCATTTGAAGTCCATCATTCAGGTACAGTGGTAGAGACTATCCTTCCTTATCTACAGGGGGTACATTCCAAAACCCCCAGGGTAGTGTACCTAAAACCATAGATAGTACTGAAGTCTCTATGTATGATTTTTCCTTCTCATACTTACCTATGATAAAGTTTAATTCATAAATTAAGCACAGTAAGAAATTAACAATACTGCCTCCTAAGAAAACAGAAAAGTTATAACAATATATTGTAATAAAAATTACATGAATATGTTCTCTCTGAAAATATTTTGTTGCACTATTTCCTCTTGAGATGATGTGGGATGACACAATGCCTACACAATGAGATGAAGTGAAAGAATGGCACAGGCATTGCGACCTGGTGTAGGCTACTTGAACACGAGCACTGCAATGCTGGGGACAGTTGATCTGATAGCTGAGACCACTACTAAGTTACTAATGAGTGAGTGATATATACATTGTGGATACATGAGACAAAAGGATGACTCATGTCCAGAGTGGGATAGAGTAGAAGAGTGAGAGATTTCATCACATTACTCATAATGATACAATTATCTAAAACTAATGAATTATTTACGTCTGGAATTTTGTACAACTGTACTTATCTCCTATCCCGTACTAAGTAATTATGAACATGGATGGGTCAGGGAACTGACCTTCTGATATTGTCCTTAGACGTTTGCTTAGAATTTCAATTAGATTTCTTTTTGACTTTTTCATGAACTGTGAGCTTTTCATCATACCTGTTGGATGTATGAGATGGGTCTCAAATAATGAATTTATACTTTTGATATCGACCCTCAGTTACCTGCTGACTCCCATGAAATAGAAGATGAGCATTGGAGAACTGGTTTGGCCTCCCTAGAGGCAGCTAATACTCTTACTCTCTTTTCCATTAATGCAATTGAATCCTAAAGTTGGCAACAGGTTTGGGAGATGCAAGTATAATTGAGATGAGGCAAGAGAAAGGGGAGAAGGTATATTATTTGAGAACAGAACTGTTTTAAAAATATACTCAAGAAATCAGTGATAATGAAAATGTTTCTGTACTTCTCTCTCGGATTTCAATTCCCTATTCCTGATCCTAGCGTCTGTGGCACTATTTATAGATAGTCCCTTCAAAATGAGCCAAGGGGGGGAGGAGGGGTACGTTTCTGTTCCAGGTGGAATAAATCACCAAATTTATTATTATTTAAACTCTCTTCAGCATACCAGAGAGCCAAATGCAAAGCTCTGCAAACTGGCAAAGGCTTTTTATGGAGGGCTATAAATATTGTGGAATCTGTCAGGATTTATAAATTCTAAATATATGCAAATGTGCATTTTACTTGAAGGGGTCAGATTTACACAAATCACATCTTCATTTGAAATTTACTGAAAAAATACGGTCACTTCAAAAATCTGTCAGCATGCAGCCATCTGTACAATCATTAACTTGGATGCTACCAGCTTCCTTTTGACAAAAGCATCTCCATCCATGGTCAGGTGCATGGGGACAAAGGGAATCAGTGAGTTATCAGACATTTGTATTAAGTTGTGTAGGAAGGCAGTGATTGTTGGTCTTCAACCTAGGTGCACAGAGCTTCTCAGATGGGGACAAGGTGCTGGGACCAAAGAAGGAGGAGGCACACCAGGATGACTCTGGAGATGCATTAACACTAACAAACGTGTCCTAGAAAACAGGCCTGAAGAAGTCCATCTAAAAGTCATTTATTCCTACATTCAATGAAAAGTATTTGCAATATCCACCATGTAGTAAGCACTTACGTTGATTGGCTGCTGTACACATCCCGGGCAATTCCTTTCATCCCCATCTCACAGAAGAGGAAATTAGGCACAGAAAAGTGCTAAGAAATTTTCCCAGGTCACAAAACAAAACATACAAGAAGCAGAGCCAGAACCCTTTCTCCTGCCCTTGCCCTGGTCTGTTCAACACCTGAGTCTATCGAGTTTTAACCCTGTCTTAGAAATAGTAGAGAGAAAGTCTAGGACAAATGAGTTTGGCACAAACAGCCTAAGATCTGTTCTTAGCCCTAATGAGCATGATCTGAGAGTCTTCAAATTAAGAACTTACCAGCTTCACAAAATATACCTAGTTCACAAACCTACTTGACCATGAAGACCTTTTTTTTTTCAATTGTTTTATTATTCATACGTGCATACAAGGCTTGGGTCATTTCTCCCCGCTGCCCCCACCCCCTGTATGTTGCCTTCTAGGTTAATTTTTTGATCTTACCTTTTCTCTAGTTCCTGGTCCCCTTTTCCTATTGGCCTCAGTTGCTTTTAAGGTATCTGCTTTAGTTTCTCTGCGTTAAGGGCAACAAATGCTAGCTAGTTTTTTAGGTGTCTTACCTATCCTCACCCCTTCCTTGTGTGCTCTCGCTTTTATCATGTGCTCATAGTCCAATCCCCTTGTTGTGTTTGCCCTTGATCTAATGTCCACATATGAGGGAGAACATATGATTTTTGGTCTTTTGGGCCAGGCTAACCTCACTCAGAATGATGTTCTCCAATTCCATCCATTTACCAGCGAATGATAACATTTCATTCTCCATGAAGACTCTTTTTAAGTTTAGTGGCCTGTATTTATATTCTACAGAAATAGTATCCTGGAGTGCGTCCTTTGAGATTCTCTACTTTATATTAATCTTAAAATTGTAAATATGGGGAGACCAGACAGTCTCTCACAACTCAGTTTTAGTCCTTTAATAAAGACATGGCTTTAGAAAACATGCCAGTCCCTGCTTTTTCTCCCTGGGGAAGGGCTTCCCCTTGGGCTCAGCAGGACAGCCAGCTCTAGGGAGAGGTTGGCTTTACTTCAAGTTTTCATGGCTTTACACAAATTTGGTGCTTCAGGCACCAAAGATGAGAGAAAAATTTCATGCGTTCAACAATCGTTTATTGATTGCCTAATATTATGATATTTTAAGCACTTGTCTTGCCTTTTAAGATACAGCAGTAAATAAATCCAAATCTTTGTGTTCTATGGAGCTTCCATCCCAGTTGAAGGAGATACACTAAGCAAGCAATCATGTAATGCTTTATAATGTTATGTGGTGATAACAGCTATGGAGAAAAATAAAGTCAATTAAGGGGGAATGGCATTTGAAGAGGGATGGTGATTGTAATTTTATATTGGGAGGTCAGAGGAGGTCTCCCTGATAACATGACATTTGAGCAGATTAAGAACAATTTGTAATTTACACTGGAGATGATCAGAGGAGGTTGACTCTCAGAATGACAGTTTTCTCCTTCATCTGACTCTACTCTTAGTGATATTTTCAGCAGCAAAACAATTTATTGCGATCGATAGGTAAACAAATCATTTGAAATGAGAATCTACACCAAATGACTGTAGATACCAAAAAAAAAAAAAAAATCAATTGGACTCTTTTCCTTATTTCGTTGCACTCATCCTCTTTCAGGAGATTAATGATTTGATGGCCATTAGCATAAAAATGGAGAGACAGTGACATTGTGAGAAAATTAGCAAAGGGTGGAAAACAAAGAGGGGAGGACA